CTTGGGGGTCATACTGCAGGGTCAGCCAGCATGCCACACCCGCGGATGTGGGGGTCAAGGGCCCCTAGTCATGTAACTATATTACCAAGGGCGGGGTTCAAACTGGTGACCCCCCCCCGATCTCAGGCACAGAGGCGTATCCCACTGCGCCACACACCATCCCCAGACAGTAACAGACACTAAACCTAAAACTGGGAGCCTTTCTTCCATAGCCCCATTACATTTTATCTGTCACTCCCCCCCACCTTGCCCAGTGCTCAGATACACAAATAGGCTGCCCAGACACGTCTCTGGCAAGCAAGTCAGGCCGTCCCCTTAAAACAACTAACCCTGTCTGCAAGACACAACCCTTTATTGGGACAGTAACTGGCTCGTTTCCGCGGCACACGCTGGATTCCCCCCACATCCACCACCCTAATGAAGATGGTCGTAAGAGCCGTAATGATGGCTGACTGCCTTCTCCTGGTAGCGCTGGTGACCCCAATGGTTGGATCAAAGCCATCGTTTGAACCTCTGGTCAGGTCTGTATCTCCTGCTGCCTGTAAATTGCATTTGAGGGTTAGGGGGCGACGTGGCAGAGAGGCTTAACCAGGCCAAAAATCCCTCATTGAGCTGTGAAATCACAATCTGTTGTGTATTCATCGGCAACACCTTAGCTGGACTGGAGAGTGACACGCGGATGCTTTAACGTCTCCTCGTCCCCACTCGCCTCTTCTGTCCCTTTCCTGCACTCTTTCCCCTCGTTCCTCGCTTGGAATCAGTGCCTCCCTAGCCACTCTTTCTCTCATCCTTCGCTTCCTGACAGGCTCTTAGCATGACCGATGCCTTCTGACGGGATGCAAATTAATGACTTCCTCCTCGTGCTTTGCCTCCATCCATCCTCCCTTCTTTGAGATGAGAAATGGGCCAGTGCCATCTGATGCTCACTACCAATTGTTTATAGACTTTGGACAGTACCATTACTCTCTCTCTCCCTCTCTCTCTCTCTCTCTCTCTCTCCCTGCTTCCTTCTCTCTCTATCCAAAAAATACATACTCTCCTGTTCATTCCTCTCCCTCCATCCAACACTCAGTCCCGTTGATTGGAGCTTTACTTTAATTGTGTTTGTGTACCTGTTTTTGTCAGTGTCCAGATGGAGAGAGTACCTGGCTCAGCAGAAGACAGAAATGAATTGGAGTTTCCCCTGACCTGGAAGTAAATGCCCTGACCTTGCATTGCTGAGGCTTACTGCTAAATTATGCTCATATTTTATGTATGTAGTGGGAATTAAATAATTAGCTTCATCCAGTGTGAGGCAGGCTTTGCCATTGTGCATTTGTATAGCCGTGTTTGTCAGTTTGTGTTCTTTGCGCAGTGACAATAGCAAGCTCCGATTTAATTTCTTGAATTTTTTTGCTAGCAAATGAACCGTTATCCCCAGTCCCGTGTTGACGTTACCTTTCTAAACACGAAGCCGTAATGACTTGCCAAATGCTATAATTAAATATTGAGCAGCTGGAGTCCAATTAACAGACCTGAAAATGCAAAAAGCAATCAGTGAATCCTCTTCGCGGTAAAGCCGTCTTCTCCTGGAACCCCAGCAAAGCACTGTGACCTACAAGCTCAGAGGAGAACAGTTTACGGGCCTCCAATAAGACTGACGTGGAGTCTTACGTCAGCCAGCCAGCATACAAGGCAACATACTCAAATAGGCCACAGCACCTTTAATTAACTTTCTGAGATGGTTCCATCCCTAGTTCCAGGTCTAACCTTTATTAAAGTTACCTTTCTGTTCAGACTCTAGAGAATAGGACCTTTTTTCAAATCAAGTGTTCCTCTTTTAAGGTGTTACTTTGGTACCTTAGGTGTGCATAGTTCAAAATTATAATTATGTTCTTGTTCCATGCAAAAGGGTTGACAGTCAGGCACAACCCATATCAATATGGCCAGCAGCGCTGGTTTTTACACAAACAGAAAAGCATTGCTGAGATTTTGTATATGTTTAATTATATCTGTATAAACTCATCTGGTGCTAGCTTGCTGGCTAGTTAGGGTGGCGAATCGTTAACTGTTTTTCCCTTTAGAAACTGTCTTTAGTGGAAAATTGCTAGCTGGCTAGTGTCCTAACACTGATTGTTTTTCCCATTTAAAACAAAAGTTGATTAATTGTTCGTGGTCCATGGAATTTGTGGATTGTAAATTTGTTCATTATTAATGTGCAACAATGATGGTATATACTTTATTATTACAGACATCTTACAGTTTATTAGTTTTATAAGCTGGACCAATCTTCTGAAAATGTGGGGAGAGTGTTTTAGTTCCATGACAGAGACGTTGCATAAATAGGACAAGGGTGGCAGAGCCTTAGCAGCGAAGATATGGAAATGAAGGGGAATGTGTGTACAGAGCAGGAAGGCGGCGGAAAGGAAAGGAACTGCAAGTGTCACCGGTTTGGCTTTAGCTGAATCAGCCTGTAAACCAGCGCAGGACTGGGATAGGCAGATGGGGGCCGGGGGTGGGGGGGGAGTTATCAAAGCGTGCTGAAAGCGGGGGCTGCGGTGCAGAGCTGGCGATAAAGTCCCAGTGTTTGAGGTTAGAGCAGCAGGGTGACCGAATCCTGTACGCGACTTGTCACAAACAAGCGGCTCCCCAACCGCCATTCAGATTAGCTACCCAGAGCTTTGCAAGACATAGGCCTGTGTTTTCCTCTAAGGGAAAAAGACAAAAAAGACAGTTCTCTGTTGTTTTATCTACTCTTGATGTTTTAAGTCTCTGTGTATTGCTCAAATATACCTTTTAAATTCCACTACTTTGAGCAAAATACAGGTACAAATTTTGCAATTGTGATAAACTGGAACCTATAAACTTGGATAAACTTGGTCATTATTAGACTTATATATCCTCCTGAGACCCCACCCATTCATTTATGTCCATTGCAGTGGACATTTTGTTTTTGCATATATCTTTTCACTAATGTAAGGAAACATATTTATTCCTGTTGTTCACTAAAGAGGACATGCTGTGAAATTAAAAATAAAAATAAATTTGAAAAAAGATGGCTTATTTCCTCCAGACATAGAAAATCACAATTAACCCAAAACTGAAGGACACTTTTTTTCCTTAGGTCTCAGGAGGATATATCTACTGCATTTCTGCAACATTAAAGCCACGATGATCCTTTCAGTGTAACTCATCAATTTAATAATTACATAAAGTAGAACCTTTGACTCAACTTTCTGTTTAGTTTTGGGCAGGAAAATTAATCGGGGACCATCAACACAATGGGTAACGCTTTACATTAACTGTACCCTCATAATGCCTTTATAATGCATTCGTAGAATATTCATAAGCAGCTTGTAACTACATCCTAACACACCTTAACAGCTTCAATGTACACTAATAACAAACATAATATGATAATAGGATGTCAAGGTAGACTCAAATGCTGCGTATGAATTTTCGATGAATGCAACGTAGATGCATTATGAAGGTGCACTGAATGTTCAATGAACACATAATTAAATCATTATGAACATGCAGTTAATGTGAAGCGTTACCGCACAAAATATTAATGATTCACATACTATAATTTGATGGCCCAAATAACAAAACTTACTGAAAATCCAAATGTTGTATGGTGTATGTCAGCCCTATAAAGCAAAGATCATATTTATCATTAAACCGAAGTAAACAAAGTGAATATAACCACTCTACATTTTAAAAACTGTTTCAAAGTTGTTTGTGTCTATGCAAGTTAACAATCAATCAAGGCTCATCTTTAAAGATTCTGCCCGTGCACTAAACATTCTCCATAATGTATAATACAATTACTATAAGCGAAGCTGTGTTGAGACTTCAAGGGGCAGGTGCTCAAAGGTTTATCTTTAAAGCTTACGCTCAAGTTCACATTAAGTAGTTTATTATAATAATAATAATAATAATAATAACGACAACAATAATAATAATAATAATAATGATAATGTTGGTGGTGATGATGTGGGTTTATTGTTTGTTTAATCATCATCTCTCCTTTATAAATTCCTAATGACGTGGTTTCATGTCAAAAATCATAGTCTAAAAAAGCAAAACAGTCATAAAGTTAGACAATTATAATCCTGAATCTTTGTTTAAAGCAGCATCATGTATCCCTGCCTTCACAGTTATTTTTCTCAGCTTTTCGCTAACAGCCTGAGATTAAACCCATACACATATTGTAGAGTATCACTAATAAGGCAAGCGCTGTTTTTAAACAGTCTCCACCTGAACAACACACTGAGTGAGAGAAGACTGACTGAACGCCAAATGAACAGCTTCCTTCAGTGGCACCAACCCCAGGTTCCTTCTGCCCCCTAGGGAGACCTCCAGGAGCAACAACAAAAATAGCCAGAATAATAAACTATACCCCTTCCAAAGACTAGAACACTACACTATGAAAGTTAAACTTCTGAAAATGTGCAGGCATTCTGAACTGTATTAATCACCATGCGAATACTAGATGCTGGACAACATGTTCTGTGCTTGTTAAGGTACGAACATGGACGTGAACCCTCACTTTGGTGATGAAATCAACGTCAAGTTCTGTTACCATCTTAGATAACCCCAGCAATTCTGGTACCAACCTGTGCAGCATAATAGGAAAAGGTAAATACACTATATATTTTAAACGTTATAACATAAATTATTATGCATGTTGATGAATAAAGATATGGTGAAAAGGGACTGTATGTAAAGTTCAGCCCCTGTACACTAGAAAATAATGCCAATCTCCTGTCTGAAGCGTTATTAGTCCAACGTCTCAGTCTGTCCTGCAGGGGTTTGATCTAAAAAGTGCACGCTGATGTGATTGGAAAACCCTTTTAACGATGATCCGAATTTTATTCCGGCTATGCAGACCCCTTAAGCGCTGAAGTATATGCTTGGCTGCCTAATTTACAGTATTTCTAATAGCGTCTCCATCCCTGTCACCGCGTGTCGTGGCTAGTGACGTGGAATCAGAGATCGCAGTATTACCCAGATTGGGCGGTAGGAGCGCACACCGTGCGCAAGAAGCCACTTCCAATTGGTCTTGTCAAGCACCGTATCTAAAGTGACAGCAACTGGCAACTTTATTTATTTAACCACCCTCCCCCCACCCCCAGCTGATCGAAGAGCAGAAAAGGGAAGGTTATCGGTATGGGGCTGCAAGCAGTGTGCCGATTAGTCGCCCTGGGTTGCCTTCTCCAGATATCTGTTTGCTGGACCTCTCCATGCCCGGGCATTTGCAGGTGCACCGAAGAAAGTATTCGCTGCACCAAGGAAACTCAACTCAGCTCTCGGTCCCAATCGGCGTTCCCTACCAGTCTGTAAGTACTCTGTACATGCAAAAAGATCGTAAACTGCACATCATGCCGATTAAAGTCAGCTATGGATTGAAGTGAAACCACTGAAATCTATATAAAACTACAACTTGTAATAACTGATTATCTGTATTTGAAATACACCGCCAGCCACTTTTTCCGCCAATCTCTTGATAAACAACGCGATACAGGAAATGTTTTTATTATGAGCCTTTATCTTGTGAATTAATGTATTTTCTCGTGTTTTGATGTAGAAGATTCATCCACCTGCCCTTTAAAGAAGTTAAGAGCGGGTCTTTCAGAGGACTACTTAACGTGTCCAGAATGTAAGTTAATAAAACAGATTGGAACGCTTTCACAAAGTTTTCAGGTCTGAATAAGGCAATAATAATAATAATTAATAATAATAATTAATAATTGTAATGTTTCTGTTTTTGTGCTTTGTAAACATTGTAGTGGTGGACTTGTATTTATTTCAGCTATACCATTTAAAAAAATTAATTAATTTAAAAATGAATTACTGATGTGGAACAGTGCAAAACAAAGTTGGTCTGCCTTACATAACCATACTGAATGTGTTGTGTGTGTGTGTGTGTCTTGGATAGGTAAATCTGCACAATAGAAATGAATGTTATATAGGTTTGCTGGTTTGATTTTGCGCATTGCCCATTGATCTTGGCTGATTTGGTCTATGGCAGGGTAACAAAAAGTAGATCCATTGGTTTGACAACCTTCCTTCCGGGCAATTCTGATGCATAATGGTTAATGAGGCTTGTTTATCACCACATGGCAAGGTGGTCAAGTAGCAAACCACAGAAGCATCAACGCCTATGGTGCCTGCATTTTGTGCCACAGTAGGAAGTAAGCTCTGTTTTGTAGCCCCGCCCAGCGCTCACTCACACCCTTATCAAATTCACAGATCTGCAGTTTAATCATCTTTTACAGCTCGATGCTAACTGGTGCAGTTGCCAGTCTAGAGAAAAACAACACTTTTAGGCTACAAATTGACATCCGTTTCCACCTCTTGTAGCGTGAGCGTAATTATAGCATAACTTTTATTACAGCCGTACTGAACAAGCCCCTTGCTCTGGCTGTACAGGAAGATTTTCTCCGGTCAGGGTGCCCACGTAGCAGTAGGACATCTGACAAATTTTTAATCTTATGCTTCCAAAGGGAGGATCGCTCAGCTATGGAGATGTGGATGTTCATTCTCCGAGGGTAGGAGTGATCTGGCATCTTCTCAGGAATTTCAAAGCATTTTTCTTCTTTCCATTAACTTACCAATATAGTGGTAATTTCACTGTACCTCTCAGATTACTATTATAAAACCATGCACTAGACAGGTCAGCTTGTCCTCTCAGGTTGGTTTTGTGTGATGTTTGCCATCTGTAGTGTCATTTAATGAAATATTCATGTTGCCGTCATTGAAAAAGTATGCTCCCCTAAGCATTAAGGCTTTATTTGGCCTTTTAATTGCTTTTTCATATTATTCCTCAGTGGCTTGTTCTCTTCATTATGGGTTTCCTTCCAGTCGCGTGTTTGAAATTGTCCCCATCGGGTTTTACACTGAGGACAGTGGATTCAGATCCCAAATTCCCACACACAGTGAGTACAGATGTGTGCCTAAAGTTCTTGTGGTGCTTTTTCTAGGGATTTACAGTTCACAGAGAATAGTCTTACGTAAAACAAGGTTGTGGGAAATTGGCCATGAAAAAAATGAATGTTTCACAACAATTGCTATAGAATAGTACAGTCTTTCCACCAGATCATGGCTGAGATACAATGCATTTGTGGTAAACTGAAGTCCAGGTTTAGCTATTACAAAGCAATATGTCAATTCAAGTCACTGGACAGAATTGAAATGGTAATTTAACGTTTTTTGATACACAATATGAATTGCTGTTATAACCAACGGGTGAGCAGGGGAATTGCTGAGCAAGGAATCAAGGTCGGCAAACAAAGATTCAGGAAACGGGGTTTATTCCAGGCAAACAGGCAGACAGGTACCAAATGGTAAACAGACATGAACGTGGACTTAAATATACAGGACTACTCAGAAATAACACGAAACAGCTGGCTACAATCGGGGTTTCACATGAGGTAAATGAGGGGGCGTGGCACGCAGGAGGATTGGATGAGCAGGGCATCACAGACCCCCCCCCCCAAAGGCACGCACATGAGGCGCGCCTGAAGGGGAGCAATGGACGACATGAGACCGGGAACTGCACAGGACTTGGAGAAAACAAAACCAAGAACATTAACGAGGGACCAAGAACAGAACGGACACACAAAACAGGCACAAGGGCAAAAACCAGGACAAAACCTGACACAGAACGGGAAACGCAGACAGGCACACCAACAAAGGCACCAAACAAAGAGGCAGGAAGGCAGAGGACGGGGGGAAATGGGGAGCCCGAGGGAACCCCAGCGGACAAGAGGCGGCCGTTGCAGGTGCAGCAGGTGACCACGAGGTTGGAGACGAAGGGGACCTCATAGGGGGCGTGGAGGCCAATGGAGGGACAGGCAGAGGAGGCGAGGAGGGAGTCAGAGCGGCCACCAGGGGAGGCGAGGAGGAAGTCGGAGGGGAATCCAGCGTAGGCAAGGGGCGAGGTGGTGCCGTGGCAGGCGGAGTAGGGGGATCCGCAGGCGACCGAGGAGTTGACGTAGGAGAACCTGTAGGCGACCGACGAGGCATCGGAGAGGGACCTGCAGGCGACAGTTAAGCCGGAGCCGGAGGACCCGCAGGCGCCCCTCGAGTCACAGCCAGGGAGACCAAGGGTGAGCCAGGGGGCAGGGTGGGCGGGACACGGGTGACCAACAGGTGGGGTCCTGGCCAGAATCACCCACGGAGGTGGAGGAGTCAGTCCCCTGGAGGGGTCCATTGGGGCCATCAAAGAAATCCCCAAGGGGTCCCATTCAAGCTCCTCCTCCCCCAAGGGGAAAGGAGCGGTGGTCGGGCAGTCTGGGACCACTTCGGGGACAGAGACTGGAGTCCTGGGAGCTGGTGGTGCTGGAGCTGGGTCAGGAACTGGGGGGACTGGAGCAGGAGGTACAGTTGGCGGATCAGGGATGGGCGGAGCAGGAGGGGGAGGCGCCGAAACCTCGAGCGGAGCAGGAGGTGGAGGCGCAGGGACCTCAGGCATGGGTGGAGTTGGGACCGGAGCCTCTGCGGGCAGCGTGTTGGCTGCTGGGACCAGAGCCTCTGCAGGGGGCGCGTTGGCCACCTGGAATAGCAGGTCAGGAATATCAGACAAGTCAGAAACATCGCGCACCGGCAGGTCAAGCACAGTGGAAGGCGGAGCATCGGGCGGAGGCGCAGGAACCTCGGGCGGCGGCAAAGGTGCAGGGACCTCGGGTGGCGGCAAAGGTGCAGGGACCTCGGGCCGCGGCAAAGGTGCAGGGATTTCGGGCGGCGGCGGAGGTGCAGGGACCTCGGGCGGAGGTGCAGGGACCTCGGGCGGAGGTGCAGGGACCTCGGGCGGCGCCGCAGGTGCAGGGACCTCGGGTGGCGCTGCATCAGCCGCAGGCACAAGAACCACAGGGGGCGCTGCATCAGCCGCCAGGACAGGAACCACAGGGGGCGCTGTATCAGCCGCCAGGACAGGAACCACAGGGGGCGCTGCATCAGCCGCTGGTATGGCTGGGGTTTGCGCCTTGGCAGCGGGTGTTGCCCCTTTAAGGATTTTGTGGGGTGCCTCAGGAACCGCCTGCACAGGAAAGGTCGGGGATGGAGCCAGGGTTGGCGTCCAGGTAGCCGGTGTTGTTCCTTTAAGAGACTTGGGGATTCGCAGAATGTCATCCCATACTGACCTGGCCCCTTGAAGAGCCAGACGCATCCTGGTGAAGGGGCGTGCTGTGAGTACCGGCAGGGAAACTGCAGGAAAGCACTCCAAGGCAGCAGAGGTAGTTTCCTGCGCGAACCCCACGGGTTTAAAATCGGGAGGGGCTCTTCCCGAGACCCGGCGGGGAAAGAAGCGGCGGAGATGGAGATGGCCCACCAGGAAGATTGTTAGCGTCTCCATCTTTTCTACTTGACCCTTCGGGCAATTCAGCTGGTGGATCTATAAGCAATCCGCTGTCTAAGGCTAACTGCTGCAGGTTTGCCTTCGCCGCCATGCTTCTGAGCTGCCGCAAGTTCAGCCGCACTTCTTCCACCAAGATGGTTAAAATATCCCCCATGTGTGCAACAAGGGCGCTAGCTGCGGGGTTCTCCTGAATCTCGGATTGCTGAAGCCAGTCCCCGGCCTCAGTAATAAGCCACTGTATTCAGCTGGGGTAAGCTGAGCCGTTTTCTTCCGGGGTCCGGTCATTCTGTTATAACCAATGGACAAGCAGGAGAATTGCTAAGCGAGGAATCAAGACAGACAAGGCAGACAAAGATCCAGGAAATGGGGTTTATTCCGGGCAAACAGGCAGACAGGTACAGAACGGTAAACAACGTCAATGACCGGACTGGGGAAACAGACGTGAACATGGACTTAAATACACAGGACTACTCAGAAATAACACGTATCAGCTGGTTACAATCGGGGTTTCACACGAGGTAAATGAGGGGGCGTGACACACATACAGTATAGAGTTTTAATCAGCGTTGTTGCTTCAGTGTATTATCACGTATAAAGTTAATTTGTGTTCTTGCGTGTTCTTGCTTCCATTCTGTCTGACGTTGCTGGAGGACCCAGAGACCCTGAGTGTTTTGCCTTGGATCTTGCGATATTTCAATCATCAATCATCAATTACACCAATCATATGATGTAATATGCTAATTAGGGTGCACATATTTGCATAATAACTATACCTGTTTTTTGGGAGCCTACAGAAAACCCACTACGATGATGTTGCATAGATCATCTTTCTATCATCTATCTATTATATCTATATAATTCTAATGTATGTAAAGGTTTGCCATCTGCCCTGCTGAAAGAGCCACTGGGCGCTCTTTCCTGGGCGGAGGCCGGACTTGGGTGGGTCTGTTTTTCCACCGTCAGTAACCTTCCCCCTCTACCCCTAAATCAGAAACACTCATCAAATCCCCACAGTCTCCCAGCTGCTCCAGGGCTTAAGGGGACTGAAGGACGACCCAGAAAGCCCTCCCAAATCTGTGCATCCTAATTTGCATATTACCTCATATGATTGGTTCTCAAAGACTTGGCTAAAATATAATGAGATGCACTGTATATGATCAGATTTGTTGAGCTGAGCACAGTTACCAGCTTCACCCTAGGGAAGGCGCCCATCCCTCCCGGACGGTACGTCCTGAACATAGCACACCGACTGTGTCCCGCCTTCCTCTGAGTCCTGTTTGATTAATTAACATCCTTCCACC